TCTTTCCTTTTGATTATTTGTGTTGTATATATTGACTTGATGCGATATTGTTGTGTGATTCCTATCTAGATTTTAGTTCATGTTGGATTCATTTGTAATAATCCCGAACAGCCCAAAATCTTGAAAAGAAGTTTTCTTAAATTCAATTCGGTTTCTAGTTATAAAGTCTCATCCTGAAAATGATTGGTCTGGTATTCGGGTTTTGGGTTTCAGTTCGAGATCCCAATCCGAACCACTCGTACTCTAAGGGAGATGGGAGACCACAAGGTGAGTTTTTCATTAAATAATATCGAACTTAACATAAATATCATAATTTATATGAGTCAAACTTAAAATCTGTTGTTTACAAGTTACAACTTGTGAGTGATGAAAATCAGTAGTTAAAAAGAAGAAAGAAGGTATAAAAAGGGGAAAATAGGGAGCATATTTTGCTTACCACCATAAACTATGGTGTATGCTCACCATACACCTAATCAATTAACACGTGTCATTTCATTTAATATTGGTTAATTTTTTTCAAAATTGAAAAAGTAACTAACTAGAGTTAGGTGAAAGACACGTGTCAATTGATTAAGCGTATAGTGAGCATACACCATAATTATGGTGAACATAAACCACAGTTATGGTGGTGTACAAAAATGCTCCTGGGAAAATAATATGTGCATCGTTGTAGTTATAAGAATTTAGGAATGTGATCGGTTCCTATTAAGAATTCACCATATCATATCTTTAGATATTATCCTATTAGAGTTATGCAATTGTGGTAAGAAATTTATCTTCCTACCACTGTACATAAAGTCATAATGAGTGAAATAAAACACACATCATAATTATCTCTCTCTCCTCTCTCTTTTTGAAACAAACGATAATATCTACACTGGAGAAGTAAGAGAGTAAGCTAAGCATCATAATTAATTAATAATAATGTGGTTCAAATTTATCTTTAACGATAATCGAATTTAAGATTTCTCACTTATGAATGAAGAAAAATACTACTAAAAAATAGTATTAAATAACAATTATTTAGTTAAATATGCCGACAATATGCATAAATAATTTCGTTTAAAAATACGAAAATGTGGGGACTGCAAAGCGTGTTATAGCCGCGTGTTGCGGAGTCAACCGTGAGAGCGATGTAGAGTAGAGTAAACGGAACGCGGCAGGGGCAATGTGGGCGCGAAATAGATGTGGGCCATGCTTATCCACATATATCCACACACATATCCGACGTTAAATAAGAAAATAAAGAAAACGAGTAATTAGGTTTAGGTGCCCGCATATCAATGCTATGATGGAACGCGGCAGATGAAATTGTGGGTCACCTCCTCTGTCGGCAAGATCTGATTTCTATCAAATAACTAATGAAAACAAGTAATTAGGTGTTTAGGTGGCAAAAAGTATAATAAATAACAAGGTTATTTAATTATTTATAATTACATTAAATTATTTAATAAATAAGAATCACCAATCGAAAATAAATAAGTTAATAATTTAATAATATATCATCTATCAGAAATAAATAAGTTAATAATTTAATTATTTATAATTACATTGTTTGGTTTGTTAATTTGATTTAAAAAATTTGTTGTCAAGGTCCTTCTCGATTAATGCTTTCTTTAGTACTGTTTGTGTTTAATTTTAAATAATTAATTAAAATAATTTAAGATTGCACAATATACGATGATTAAGTATGCTGTTAGGATCTGTACAAAAAATGATCCCAATAAAATTATACTGTTATCTTTTTTGCTAATTGACAATTAAATTAGTCGAATGCACGTGGCTAAAACTTGAAGCCGGCAACAATCATGGAAAGTTCTTTTTAGTCCATGGCAACTTATTAACCTTAAAATTAGTGCCTCTTGAGAATGAGATTTTCTTTTTCTTATTAACCAGAGATTTTTTAATTTGATCGAACACGAAATAGTATATCATGTGTTACTATATAAATAATAAGATATGTGTGTTAAAAATTAATAACTTAAAATATACAATTTCTCACCACTTATATAAAACTACAAAAGAAGATTCAGGTAAAATCCTAAGTCCAAAAAATTTGATCTCCGTACTGTTAGCCTATTCACCGTTGACAATTAAACTAGTCGAATGCACATGGCTAAAACTTGAAGCCGGCAACAATCATGGAAAGTTCTTTTTTAGTCCATGGCAACTTATTAACATTGTTCTAAAAAATGGTTGAGGTGGACGCCTAGGCGACGGTGCTTCACCGCGATTAATTCAAAATCGTTTCTTAAATCGACGAGGTTTGTGCGGACGCTGGGTTGTTTGGCGGCTCGAAGAGAGAGAGAGAGAGAGAGCGAGCGCCTTGGAAGCATGAAGTAGTTCGGAGAAGAAGCAAGAGAGGATGTTGTGGAAATTTACAGAGCAACAGAAGAAGAAAAAGAAATGGAAAAACATAGTAATCAGAGAAGGAGAAGAAGAGGAAAAGGGAAAAAATTCAAGACATTAATGGCTTTTCTCTTTCCAAGGAAGAAGAGGAAAAGAAAATCCAAAAACAATAATGCGTCCGCTTTCCAAGGCGTAAAAATGGCTCCATCTTTTGGAATCCAATCTGATTTGAATAAGTGGGGCGAAGGGGAGGTGCCAAACCTCACACGTGGACTTTTATGAACAAGCTTTCGATTAATTTAACTTACTAATCATTCAAAATGTCTTAAGTTATATGGTATATATGCTTAATGTGTTTTTAAATTTTGAACTTGTTAGATACTCTTTTTGTATTTTATCATTATTTTATTATTTTATTCATGAATTTCATAGAAGTATAATTTTTTATGTGTCAATATGCATTTATTTACAAAATAAACAATAAATTTACCTAAATCCGCCTAGATCCCGCCTAGGTGCTAGGCGTTAGTTCGTCTCCCGACTAGTGCCTAACGTTTTTTAGAACATTGCTTATTAACCTTAAAATTAGTGCCCTTTGAGAATGAAATTTGTTTTTCTTCTTATTAACGAGAGATTTTTTTAGTGTGATCGGACACGGAGTAGTACATCACATGTTACTATACAAATGATGAGATATGTGTTAAAAATTAATAACTTAAAATATACAATTTCCCACCATTTATATAAAAACATATGGTGTACCACCCGTATTCCAGTCACAATGAAAATTTTCTCCTTATTAAAAAAGAGATGACATTTTGTTTTATACAAATAAGGAGATGAGATTTACAACTATACTTGAATTTTATTTTATTAGTTTTCCATACTAAAAAATAGTTCACAAGAAATTTGTTAAGAAATTAAAAGTGTCTTTTTATACGCTGATATTGTGACATCTCACATCGCCCAGAGGAGTGATCCTTAAATGTATATTCCCATCCCTACTTAGCACGAGGCCTTTTGGGAGCTCACTGGCTTCGGGTTCCGTGGGAACCCGAAGTTAAGCGAGAAGGGGGCTAGAGCAATCCCATGATGGGTGACCCACTGGGAAGTTGCTCGTGAGTTCCCAAAAACAAAACCGTGAGGGAATGGTAAGCCCAAAGCGGACAATATCGTGCTACGGTAGTGAAGCGGGCCCGGGAAGTGATCCGCCCCGGGTCGGGATGTGACAGATATTTAAAATTTTCCTCTTCAGCCTAGTTTAGGGTTGAAATTGTGTAAATTAGTGTAAAATTGCTTGTAATATAAAAAAAATGAAAGCACTTTCTCCTAGCCTTCAGGTCCTTTGGGAATGAGCTCATCCTCCATTGTGAATAACGTATCTTGACCGTACAAAATTTCTAATCAAAATCGTTCAATTTCTTAATTTTCGTTGGAAGATTACTCGTGCAAAAAATCATTTCAATCGGAGATTATTTAGTCATTCAAATGTATATAACAAATTGACAATGTACATTCTATGCAATATATTCATGATGAACCATCTATTTACTTGATGTGTTTGGATGACTAAACGATTTCAAATGATTTTTTGTTAAGAGTGATCTTGAAATGAAGATTAATAAATTAAATAATTCCACCCGTATAAAATACTCAAGATATACAAAATTATGGAGCACATTTTTTCTTACTAAAGGATGCTCCGTATTACAATTAATGAGTGTATATATGAAGGGAAGTGTTATTGGTACTCGAAAAATCTCATTCTACATTCCTCACAAATATATTTTTCTTTTCAAATATAGAAAGTTTGAAGTATAGAATGAGATTTTTGGAGTGCCAATAATAATTCACTTTATGAATCAGAAAAAAAAAGTGTATACTAGTAGATATTTACTCCCACATCTTAATTAATCACTCTAAATGAGATTGTAACTTAATCATTTGCTGTAATGAAGGTATCAAAAGCTTATCATTGGCTCAAATGCTAGTAGCGAGTCAGACTATTAATAACATAAATCAAATTACAAGTAACATTTTATTATTTTAATAAACTATATGCTAATTATATAAAATTTATTTAAAATATAGGGAGAAATATTTGAACTTATGAAGCACACTCTTCGTAACAATTTGACTAAATTCAGATATGTTGAAACCCAACATGTACTCTAGCAAGATTGGGGCTTGATTTGGTAGTGAGGTGATTCTGAAAAAAATTAGTATAAAAAAACGCTGGGAGCTATTTTTGTGTTTGGTAAACATTCAGCTTTAACTTTTTTTCATAGTTTTGGGTGAAAAAAAACCAAAAACAAGAAGCTGCAAAACTCAGCTTTGAAAAATCGATTTTTTTTCACATATGTTTTACATAAAGTTTACCAAACACTATAATACTGCTTTTTTTTTTTCAAAAGCACTTTTACAAAAAATTTTATTAAACCCTCTGCTGCTTTATTTCATAGCTGCTTATTTACACAACACAGCAGAAGTAGTTTTTTTTCAAAGCACAGCAATATCAAACCAGCGCTGAAAAAGAAAAAGAAAGGAAATGTGACCGAAGGTGACTGCAAAATTAGAAAAAAAGAAGGGGCTAAAAGCAAATTTCACAGAGAGGCAATCATGACGAAAGGGAAAGAAAGGTGACAAAAAAAGAGAACCATTCATCTTTCTCCACGGGTAACTTTTGAATAGCTTATATTACAACGCTGAGCCAATACCGGATCACATCTTCATTGCGCTCCTCTCTTCCACCTTTGCTCTCTGTGCTTCTATACACTCTCACAGATCTCTCTCTCTGAAACACAAAAAGTGAGTGCCTCTCAACTTTTCCATCTCTGATTAGCAATTGAGTTTTCAGTCACTTTTCGTGGGGATCAGCTTTATTCTCACTCACCATTGCAAAATATGGAAACATAATTTGTTGAGTACTTTTTGTCTGTGTGATCCGATCGGTTTCTGGTTTGTTTTGTGTAAAGTTTGAATATTTCTTGGTTTTTTGGTGGATTTGGGATCTGATGCGAAGTGGGTTTTGTTTGTTTTGGTTGACCATTGTGTGCAGGTGAGAAATGACGGAGGCAGAAAACCAGTGGCTTCATGGGACGCTTCACGCTACGATCTATGAGGTTGATAAGTTGCATAGTAGTAGTGGGAATTTCTTCCGCAAGGTATATAATTTATGACTTTTTTTTTTTGGTTGATTTGAGATCCGAGCTGGTAAGGGTGATTTGATCTCTTTTGTAATTTTATAGTGTTATGACCATATAATTCTGTGAGTATGTGTTGTAATGATCATTGGAATTTATAGTGGTCAAGCAGTATAATAGTTAGCTAATTTTTTTTCACTAAAATAAAATGCGATCTTGTGTATGTTGTTCAAATTGAAGATAATTGAGAAAATCGGGACATTTTCGATTTAGATATGAAAAGATGTCCAGGATTTTTTTGAGCAGATGAACAATGCTAAGTCCACGATGTTAATTGTAGTAGATTGTTGTGCTCGTTGCCGACTGGTATGCTATATACATTAATTGGTAACTAGTATGACCTCTCTGTTTAAGATTTATGCCTAGCCTTTCCAGTGCCCATTTATGATTATGGTCACTGTTGATTTAGTTCGTCTATTTAGTTATATGGATTTTCATGTCTGTTACTTGAATCTGTTTGCTCGTGGAGGTTACTTTACTTTCATTCGAAATGTTTGGTCACAGATCTTCCTAGATAACAAATGAAAAACCACTATCTTATTTCTGCTTTTCCTGGGCAGTTAATAGCTTCTCCTATGTCTTTTATGCTTTGCAATGCATACAATTGTTGACAATTTTTTGTCTGGTGCTGAACAAGTCTGTTCTGGGTCGTGGATATTTCCCTTTCCTGGGAAGTGCAGACATGACACTCAAAACTCTCATCATATTCATCCTCCTTTTCTGTACTTCATTCATAAGATTTTAGTATTTGGTCATTATTCATTTGTTAGATAATTGAAGCATTCTAACCACTTAAAATTGGATGTTCATTGCATAGTAAAAGTTTTGAGGTTGCTTGTAGGAGGCATTAACAAGATTGATAGACAAGAAACTTCAAACCATCTATATCATTTTCCTGTTACCTTCATATTGTCTCATATATGAACTTTTTCTGTGCAGATTACAGGAAAAATTGAGGAGACTGTTGGTATTGGCAAAGGAATAAGTAAACTCTATGCAACCGTTGATCTGGAAAGGGCTAGGGTTGGTAGGACCAGGGTTATAGAGAAAGAGCCCTCTAATCCCAGGTGGTATGAGTCTTTCCACATTTACTGTGCCCATACTGCTACAAATGTTATATTTACTGTTAAGGAGTCTAATCCTATTGGGGCATCATTAATCGGAAGAGCATATGTACCTGTTCAAGAACTCATAGAGGGGGAAGAAGTGGATCAATGGGCTGAAATTTTGGATGACAAAAGGAACCCCGTCCATGGAAATCCCAAAATACATGTGAAACTACAATTTTTCCATGTTACAAAGGACCGCAGTTGGGGTCTGGGTATAAGGAGTCCTAAGTTTCCTGGAGTTCCGTTTACATTTTTCTCACAGAGACAAGGATGTAAGGTTTCCCTTTACCAAGATGCTCATATCCCAGATAAATTTATTCCTAAAATTCCTCTTGCTGGAGGCAAGCGTTACGAGCCCCACAGATGCTGGGAAGACATCTTTGATGCAATTACTAATGCAAAGCACCTGATCTACATTACTGGTTGGTCAGTTTATACTGAAATTTCCTTGGTAAGGGACTCAAGAAGGCCAAAGCCTGGTGGAGAGATTACCATTGGTGAATTACTTAAAAAGAAAGCAAGTGAAGGTGTTAGGGTTCTTATGCTTGTTTGGGATGACAGAACCTCTGTTAGTTTATTGAAAAAGGATGGACTGATGGCCACTCATGATGAAGAAACTGCAAAGTTCTTCCAGGGTACTGATGTGCATTGTGTCTTATGCCCTCGTAATCCTGATGGCGGCGGGAGCATTATTCAGGGTGCACAAGTCTCTACCATGTTCACTCATCACCAGAAGATTGTGGTTGTGGACCACGACATGCCAAATGGAGAATCAGAGAGGAGAAGAATTGTTAGTTTTGTTGGGGGTCTTGATCTGTGTGATGGAAGATATGATACCCCCTTCCATTCACTTTTCAGGACATTGGATACTGCACACCATGATGATTTTCATCAGCCAAATTTTACTGGTGCCTCAATTACAAAAGGTGGTCCAAGGGAACCGTGGCATGATATCCACTCTCGACTAGAAGGGCCTATTGCTTGGGATGTTTTGTTTAACTTTGAGCAGAGGTGGAGAAAGCAAGGTGGTAAAGATTTACTTGTTCAGCTTAGAGAGCTGGAGGAAATCATCATTCCCCCTTCTCCTGTTATGTTCCCAGATGACCATGAGACATGGAATGTCCAGTTATTCAGATCAATTGATGGAGGAGCGGCTTTTGGCTTCCCAGATACGCCTGAAGATGCAGCTCAAGCTGGGCTTGTTAGTGGGAAGGATAACATCATTGACCGAAGCATTCAGGATGCTTATATTCATGCTATTCGCCGTGCGAAGAATTTCATCTATATTGAAAATCAGTACTTTCTTGGGAGCTCTTTTGCCTGGGAGGCTGATGGTATAAAGCCTGAGGACATTGGCGCTTTGCATGTAATTCCAAGGGAGCTTTCACTTAAGATTGCTAGCAAGATTGAAGCAGGGGAGAGGTTTACTGTCTATGTTGTTGTTCCAATGTGGCCAGAGGGGATCCCAGAGTCGGCATCTGTTCAGGCAATATTAGACTGGCAGAGGAGGACTATGAATATGATGTATGCAGATATTAAGCGCGCATTAGATGCACAAGGTCTCGAGGAGGATCCTCGGACCTACTTGACATTTTTCTGCCTTGGGAATCGGGAGGTAAAGAAGCCTGGGGAATATGAACCCTCAGAGACACCAGAAGCAGATTCGGACTATCAAAGAGCTCAGGAAGCCCGACGCTTCATGATTTATGTTCATACCAAGATGATGATAGGTAAGTCGCACACTTATAAACTTCATGTTACTCACTTTTGACGTATCTTTCTCGTGGTTTTATATTCATGAACATTGTTCCTGCCACGCAACACCTGCATTCACATGTAGCAAGCCCAACTCTCCACTGAACTTTTGTTCTTGGTTTAAACTTTAGAATTTTAGCTGACCTTTGTCTTAGTTATGTTTTGGTTGTTGATTATGCAGCGACTGATACCTGCTTCTTGATATTCAGTTTCATGGTGTTTATCATTATATCAAACAGCTTCATATATATTACATAGTCTGCTAGAAAGAAATATACAAGCCTTTCTACTATAATGCTGTCTCTCGTGGGACAATGTTGGTTCTATATTCTACTCATCTTGGTTACCACAAAGCACATAATTGACTCACTCTTGCGTTTCTGCAGTTGACGATGAGTACATAATTATTGGATCTGCCAACATCAACCAGAGATCAATGGATGGTGCCAGAGACTCTGAAATAGCAATGGGAGCCTACCAACCATATCATCTGTCAGTCAGGGAGCCAGCACGTGGTCAGATCCATGGTTTCCGTATGGCACTATGGTATGAGCACATGGGCATGCTTGATGAGGCCTTCCTTCAGCCAGAAAGCGTTGAATGTATTTCAAAGGTGAACCAGATTGCTGACAAATACTGGGATCTATATTCAAGTGAAACTCTTGAACATGATTTACCTGGTCACTTGCTTCGATATCCAGTTGGTGTTACCAGCGAAGGAGTTGTCGCTGAGTTGCCAGGATTTGAATTCTTCCCTGACACCAAAGCTCGTATTCTTGGTGCCAAATCCGACTACCTTCCTCCGATCCTTACTACCTAAGTGTGCTTTTTGTCACTTGGTTTGTCAGAGTAAAAACCTACTACATTATCTTTGTTTTTACTCCACTATTTGTGATAGTAGATTAATAAGTCCATCTGTGTCACAGCCTGCATAGATGTTTTCAGTTGCTGGATGTTCATAGCAGGTTAGTGATTTGGTAATGTTGTGTGATTTGCTGACTGATAGAACTTATGAACCATGTTTAATTATTGTTATGTAATTTGGTTGTCTTCACTTATGTTGCCCTATGGTTATTGATGTGCTCTCTATTTTATTCTATACGTTGAACTTCACTTGTTTCTATGCATTTGGATGAAGAAAATAAACTTAAATTTTGAAATAAAAAGAAAATTTTGAAAAAAAAAAAAAAGGAAGGGAACTTTGAAATTGACGCATCTCTTGAGAACACAAGCAAAGAATTACAAAAATTCCCATGAGCAAACGTTTCAAGTTCAAAAAACGTTGTGTGTTCGGAAGAGTTATTATTGTTCTTGATTATGTCAACCAGTTGAACAAGTGTTCAACACAATTCTTGGAATGCTCAGCATTAGTTTCTTTTTTGAACCAAATCGTGGTGATTCAAAGTAAGTAATCAAGATGTATTATCAGCTCTTGGAAATTAAGATTTGATTGGACAAGTGCGATTTATACACAAGGTACGGTTTGAATACAAAATCTAGTTAATTGATACATGTCTAAGTAAAAATTGACGGATAATACTTAGATATTCACTAGTGAGTACTTTATATCCTCACTTTTTGATATGGTCCAATTAAAAATTGTCACATATTCCTTGTTTTTTAAAGTCCAAGAAAAATGTCTATTATTTACTGAATAATAAAACATGTGTTAAAATATTATCGGGCCAAAATTAAAAAATAAGTATATGGAGTACTCACTAGGGATGACCTAAATATTATCCAAAGTTGACAAACAAAACAAGTTGATCAATTACTTAGACAATATGGAAGGGGAGTTGTTGGCGCAAAATCATCCGTGGCTGAGGACTTTGAAAAACGTAGTATACAACCGTGTCATAAAAATAGATGTCTTTCATATGGTTGTGCCAAACTCTTGTGACAACCTCCTCGCCCGGACTTGTCCACAATCCTAACGTTAGAGACGTTAAACAAAAGTCAAAATATATTAGAATCTGTTTGTATTACGTTATTTTCAAATACATGTTGATATGTATTATCTTGTATGAGATATAGACGGGAAACTCAATATCCCTGTAGGACTCTGGAAGTTTGTTGATGCTTCAAATCCCCCACCTGTGCCTACCATCACCACCACCATCACCACCACCGTACCGCCCACTCCTGCCTCTGATCATTCAGATGTTTTTCAGCCACTGCTACATTCACCTCGTCAACTGCTCCGAATCTGGAATAACTAAAATGGTTCCAACAAGATCAATTGATGGTTAGCTGTATCACTTCCACATTGGCAGAGCCTATCCATACTCTCACCGAGGGCTACAAATCTGTTCAAGCCCTCTGAACCCGTGTGCTACCTCTCCCTCAATGCAACCCTTACAGCCTTCAGCTCCAGGTTCTTCCCGTGAGCCATCATAGCCATCCTCCTCACTGCCATTTGTTCCTCCCGCTGCCCAGCCATCTCTGCCTCTACCATCCCATCCTATGGTCACCCGTCCCAGAGAGGGTACCTGCAAGTCCAAGACATAGACAGATGGCTCGATTCGGTATACTCTTGCCCATGCATTGGAATAGTTCTCTTTCTACTGACGAGCCCACCTGTTTTTTCTCAAGCAAATCGCAAACAAGAATGGCGTGCGGCTATGGCATAAAAATGGAACTTGGGTCCTCGTTCTTCCTTTGCCTACTCTACATAAAGTCGGGTGTATCGAATAAACCGGAATTAGGTTCTCTACAAGAGATTAATTAATAAATAATACATGAATTTGGTTGAGGTTGACGAAGCCATCGGTTGGAATACTTCTTCTTCTAAGTCCCCTAGGACAGAGGCCAGGCTTCGCCATCACAGTCTTCTTGTTGAAATCTCTCTCGGGATCCTCCCCAGCCATTACCTCGCCATCCTCAACGCCACCATCGTCGGCCACTTCTCCGACCACATATTTGTCATACTATTTTAACCAACTAGCCTAGCCTAATATACAGCTAACCCACATAAGCTTCATTAGATTTAATTGACTTCTACAACAATGCTTTATTTAATTTTTTTTTTTTTTAGTGGCTTATTCATTGATTTGCCTCTTTAAACTGTCGTTAGTCTCATTTTACTCTTTAAAACTAGTTTTGTGTTATTTTTAGCTATGCTCTTTGAAATTCAATTTTAATTTCACTTTGTTCCTCGTAACTCAAAAGTCACTACTTTACTCTCTCAAACTCAAAGTTTTTGATACCATTTTACCCCAAAACCTGAAAGTCGTCTTTATAAAACTTAAAATTCATTTCACATTGTCCTAGTTTTGTTAATTTCTTATGTGAATTTGATTTGAGTGTTCTAGGCTATTCAAATTTTTTTTCATCTCTTCAATTTCTTTTAAACTTAATATTCTTAATGGGTGTTGGGTCTAACATATGTTTGGGAGGCGATCTATAAGTTTTAGGGTGAAGAGAGAGTCCACATATTACATCCATCGCCCAGTGGAGTGGATCCTGTAAGCCTTATATGTATATTCTCATCTCTTTTTAGCACAAGACCTTTTGAAAGCTCACTGGCTTCGGGTTCCGTAGGAACTCCGAAGTTAAGCGAGTTCGCACGAGAGCATTCCCATGATAGGTGACCCACTGGGAAGTTCTCGTGTGAGTTCCCAGAAACAAAACCGTGAGGGCGTGGTCGTGACCCAAAACGGACAATATTGTGCTATGGTAGAGTCAAGCTTGGGATGTGGTGGGGGCCCGGGCCGGGATGTGACACCACAAGTCAAAGTGAAACAAATTTTGAATTTCATGGAGTAAAGTAGTGACTTGAGTTACAGGGGTAAGGTGAGATCATAATAAAGTTAAAGGACCATTGCTAAAAATTAGCCTTGTCTTTATCTCATTTTTGTTAATGCCGTCAAATAATCGTTAAATTAAAAGTTAGTCTGAATTTTTTTTTTTTGACACAACTCCTTGCCTCCAACTTGCTTGCTAAAATAGTCCCAATTCCATTTTCGATAACTCTAGTTCAAAGCCCGGTTTGTCTCTCTTGCAGATTGATGTGGAGCAGTAGTTGCTTTTTAAACACAACTCATTATCTACTTTGTCAACGGCTACAATTACAACTCCACACCAATCCGCTAGAGAGATAAACAGGAGTTTGATATAGAGTTATTGAAAATAAAATTAGGATTGTTTTAGCAGGCAAGTTGGGGCAAAGAGGTGTCAAAAAATAAAATGTCCATACTACTCTTTAGTTTAACGTCTATTTTGGTGGAATAGACGAAAATGAAGTTAACTGAGACTAAATAAGATAAAAATAGTAGTTTTAGAGAGCAAAGCAAAAATAAGACTAAATTGCAGTTTTATGGGTCAAATCACTTAATAAGTCTTTTTAATTTTTAATTTTTTTTTTAAAGGTAATGATAAGGAAATTAAAATTTTAAATCAAATTTACAAATCAAATGATGTATTACCAATAAAAGAATAAATATGTTAATTGACATTTAATTAATAATTTAATCATTAACAACTATATCATTTAATTTATATAATTTAGTTCAACGCTATGCACTCCTAGCATTACCTTCTTTTATTGTTTGCTTTTTAGAACAACACAATGCACTCCTTCACACTCCTTGTCCAGACCACAACTTTGACTATTCCTTTCTCTATCAGTCCAACAGAAGTTGACTGGTTAACTCATCTCAAAGGCCCGTTTAGCCTTTCTCTAACTTGTTCTAGAAGATCACAACAAAACCAAGCCACTCAAAGCCAGCCAAACTAAAAGCCAATACCAACACTTCTTCCTCCCTCCCACTTTCAGAAAGTAAAAGAAAATTCGAGATGCTCACGTTTTGTACTATTGCGAAAAATTATTTACGCATCCGCTATCCATAACATCAAATGACATGCTAACATGAAAGCCAGCAACCCACCCAAAAAGTATAGCATGCAGGACATAAGGAGGTGAAGTCCTGTGCGACACTTGCCCCCTCAATTCTTGTCCAAAAGGAAAGCTTTGATAAGAAAATATTACCAAAATCTTTTAGGAAATGATTTGTTTGATTGCTGGCTATGAAAAGAGATATTTTTCTTCTTGCTTTGTTACTCCTGCTGTCAAAGATCTCTTGCTCCATTTAGGGATGTGAAACGGTTATAGCGGGTGGGCAACCGTGGTTATTTATCCATAATCATTTATGTTTATACCCGCATAACCATTTATCCATTGAGTAATTGCATAAACGGTTATACCCATACCGATAACTGTTTATAAACGGTTAACCATACTCATAACTGTGTACCCATTTAACCATAATCGTTTACCCGTTTTTGAATCCGTTTATCCTTTTTTTACCCATTTACCCTTTTTTTCCACCCATTTACATGTTTTTTTTAATAACTTGAAAATTACAAAAGAAAAATTTGTCATAATTTTCGTTTTCCGACATTTAAACACCGTTATAGGTACATTTTAGCATGCAGTTCCCTATTTTAATCATTTAAGTCCTCATACAATTCCAATAATTGAAATAATAGTTTAAGAACAATATTTTTTTGCTACACCCAAGTAAGTATTTAATTATAATCCTTATGACTACAAAGTAAAGCTTCTAAAAATAATAAGTAGTCATTATCTTGAATACTAAATGATTTAAAGCTCTAAAATATTCCGAAACTAAACACTTTTGAACACTAATGGTTTAGCACATTCAATCACAAAGTCTCATCAACTCATTGTCACCAAAAGAGGCCTACAAAAGAAATGTATAAATTGAATTAGTATCCCATTTAGGAATACTGACACCAATTAGCATGAATCCAACAGAGGTATTACATAGCAGCTCAAGAAGAATTTGATTTCCTAGAAGCAATAAGATCACACACACACACACCTCTCAAATGGATTCATTTGCATAGGGGCAAAAACCAAGGAAACTATCTTATAAGCATTCATAAACAAAACAAATAAATCAATAATTAATTAGATAAGTATGAAATCAAAAGGGTAAGACACACCTTGAGGGGCGATGAGAGAGAGATGAGCGGCGGAGAAGAGAGAGAGATGAGTGGCGGAGATAAGAGAGAGATGAGTGGCGAGGAGAG